ATACAAGTCGGAGCTAGAACTCAAACCCAGGTCTTTGGACTCCAGGATCAAGAGGGGTGAAGAGCTGTTTTCTGATGGTGGAGGCTCTTATCCATGCTGCAACACTCTGATGGTCGCACCCTCTCTGCTAAGGCTGTTTCAAGGGAAAAATGAATTAATATCAGTGTGTATGACATAGTGGAATGGACACTGAACCTATCTGCTATTTCATGACTGTGTGACCCTTGGGCAAGTCTCTTTTCTTTGAACTTTAACTTCCTCAACTCCAAAAGAAGGGGATGGGACTTGGCCTCTGAGATCCGTGGTGGCTGAATCCTGTGATCCATGGACCAGTCATGGTGGCAATAGTTTAACTTCAGACTGAGTTTGCTCTGAGACCACAGAACTTGCAAATGAGAAGTTTTGAATCCCAGCTCTGTCTCTGTCTGTTAGTGTGACCTGCCATTAATTAGCTGTGTGAGTCGGAGCCTTTGTTTACTTATCTTGGATGGATGAACAGATGGATGAATGGATGAATGGCTGGAAGAAAAAGGGAAAACAATATTTATTAAGTGCTTTGTATGTGCCAATTACTAGAGATACAAATAGAAAAGTTAAACTGTCCCTGTTCCCAAGTAGCTCATATTGGAAAAGAGTTCAGCTGCAGGACAGATGGAAAGGCTCTGGGTCCTTGGGGTACATCAGGAAGGTGGAAGGTGACAACTTGGGGACTTGGAAGACATAGGGGCAGAGCAGATGATAAAGCCCAGTGTCTTTAGGGTTTAGTGGTAGGACAGATGGCCGGATTTAGTGATCCTCCATCTTACCTGAAGAATCGTGGCTGGTGGCTCTTTGCTTATCGAAGCTGTATGAGTGGCGATGTCTGCCCTGCATCTGGGAGGCTGGAGGGGTCTGAGCTCACAGCAATTTAGAAGGAGGTCTTCAAAATGGGAGAGAGAGAGAGAGAGAGAGAGAGAGAGAGAGAGAGAGAGAGAGAGAGAGAGAGAGACAGAGAGAGAGAGACAGAGAGAGACAGACAGAGACAGACAGAGACAGAGAGAGAGAGAGAGAGATATGCTTGCATTACATCCCTTAGAGAAGGGATGCAAAGAGAGGACAGCTAAGTGGTTCAATGGATAGAGTGCTGGGCCTGGAGTCAGAAAAACCTGAGTGCAAATTCAACTTGTAAGTTTTGTGACCTTGGGCAAGTCACTTAACCTCTATCTGCCTCAGTTTCCTTATCTGTAAAGCGAGGATTGTAATAATACCTTCCTTGCCAGGTTGTTACGATGATCTAATGAGATAATATTTATAAAGCACCTAACACAGTGCCTGGCGCTATTATTGTTAGTGCAAACTTTGGTTGGCTATCAAGTGCTTTAGAAACATGAGTTGCTATGATTACTTCAGGTCCCTGCATCTTGGCAGAAAGGGATTCTGGGGTCAGGGCTCCATGGCTGATGCCTGTTTTAAGTCACAGAATCTCAGAGGTGGAAGGCTCTTGGGGACCATATTGGCTCCACTGTACTTGAAGGCAAGTCCCTTCTGAGAAGCTGGGATCATAAGTGGAGCTGGAGAGAATCTGCCAGGTGAGCTAGTCCCCCTCTTTGCCTTCAAGAGCAGGCTGGCACTCAGAGAGTCTGATTCTCTATCTTCAGACAGAGCCAGGGAGCTTTCCACCCTCCCTGAAAAGCAGCTTCTCCAGGCTCTGCCTAAAGACCCCCACGGAGGGGAGCCCCTCACTCCTAAGCCAGCCTGTGGCACTTTTTGGAAGGCTCCAGTCACAAGGAAATTTGCCACAATGTATCCAGTCCAAAGCTGCCTTTGCCACTATTGGTGGTGATTCCTAGTTCTACCCTTTGTCCCAGATAGCAAAAGTCTAATCACTCTTGAGGACTGCTAGGTGGTGCCATGGTGCATAGATCGATGGGCCTGGCGTTAGAAGACCTGAATTCAAATGTGACCTCAGATGCTAGCTGTGTGACCCTGGGCAAGTCACTTCACCCCATTTGCCTCCGTTTCCAGTAAAATGAGCTGGAGAAGGAAATGGCCAACCACTCCAGTATCTCTGCCAAGAAAACCCCAAATGGGGTCATGAGGAAGCAGACACAACCAAACGATAATAAAAATCCCGCTTCCACAGGGCAGCTCTTCAGGTATTGGAAGATGATTTCTTCCTTCATCTATCCCCAGGCTTCTCGGATCCAGACTAACCATCCCCAGTTCCTTGAGCCAACACGGCACGATCTAAACCTGACTTAGACGTGGATCCGCGCACGGATCACAGTGTGAGCATCCAGGAGAGTCTTTCCTGGCTCTGTTTGCCGTTCTAGGCTGCTTTCTCCCTGGCTAGGCAAAGGCCAGCTGGGGCTCCTGCAGCATGGCACCCCCAGGCCCTCATTCTTGCCTCACCTCGGTGCCAGGAGCGTGGAAGAAGATGAATTTGCCGCACTCCTTTGCTTTCATTAGGATGTATACTGTTTATTTTTAACCAAAAGAATTATGCCATCTCTGAGAGCTTCAAGTGGGTGAGTCCCCAGCCAACTCCACACCTGTCCTTCTGGCCCATGACGAGCCTTGGTTTTATGAATGCTGTAGGGCAAGCTTGGCCTGTCTTCCCACTTGGGCAGGGGTAGATCGCATACAAGACAATAACCTTCAACCCAGAGCTTGAATTTGACTTTTACAAGGGTTCACACTATTAATAGCCTTCCCTGACTGTCTCCTCCCACCTTTCCCTCTGAAATTCTACTTAAAAGGAGGGCTCTGAGAGTAATTTTGCAAGCACCTGGGCCCCAGTTCATCCCCACAGCTGGGAAACTTCGCTGATCAATGTGCTTTTTATCAGGCCACAAGCTGTCCCAAGGTCACCCAGCAGCTGTTGGAAATGTTCGTGAGAATCTAGGTTGCCCAACAGCTTTGTCCTCACTTCAGCAATCCCTAATTGCTTTTGGGTTCGGTTTGCTTCCCATGAGGTTTGCTGGCTTGTTAGAGAGGAGAGAATGGAGATTAATTGTTTGGACAGCAAGCATTCATTAAGTGCCTGCTGTATGTCAGTTTCTGGCTCAAAAGAGACGTGAGATGAGCAAATTCAGAGCTGTCTCCACTCTGGATGTTCATGTGGGTTATTTGTGCCTGACCCGTGGCAGAGCCTTCCCAGCTCATATCAGTCTGATCAGCCACAGTCGGACACGCGGGACCTTGATCCCAAGGTGGTGGCACCATTTTGGTCCTCTTCAAGCATGAAGGACAACCAATCCTATGTCGGGCGTTGGACATACTAATACGAAAATAAAAGCTTCCATTCACCCGAGATGATGTATGTCCATTTAGGCTTTCTTTTCCTTTCAAGTTTCAGGTTTGGTAACTACGTTTAGGCCAGAGAAAGAAGGTCAGGGTGGGCTGTTCTTCTATAACTCTCTGTGGATGTCTTCCTCCGGCTCTGGAGGGGTGCGGGAGGCAGGCTGCCATAGCAGCCCCGGCTCAAAGAGTTACCAGAAAGACATCAGTAAGGAGGGGGTGGAGAACAGCCAAGTGGGAATGGACAGTGCTGACCAGCTTTCCTCCAGCCCCAAACCACTCATGGTAGCAAATGGCCAGCACTTCTGTTAGTTCTCACCTTCTCTCACAATGACCAAACAGCTACATTCTTCCTTTAAAATAATGATGTACCAGTCACTGATCTTTCTAATGGAGAAGATTTGAATCTTGCCTCAGATACCAGCTGTGTGACCCTGAGCAAGTCACACTCTGTGCCTCAGTCTCCCCTTCTGTAAAATAGGGATACTAAGAGCATCTGCCTCATAGCATTGTTATAAGGACTGAATCAGAAAATATATATGAAGCACTTTGCACATCTAAAAGCACTATGGAAATATTAGCTGCCATTGTTAAGATTTGCAAAGCACTTTATAATGTAACCTCCTCTGAACCTCGAGGTAATTCAGTGCATCGAGGTTCTAAAACAGTATATAACCTAAAACCTTAGAAAGATGCCTTTGGCTCACAGAGATTGGCTATCTTGCCCGGGATCACACAGCTTGTTAGGAGTGGTGGTGGTAGTATGGATTCTAATGCAGTTCTTCCTAATGTCAAGGCTAGCCCTCTGATCTTCTACAATATGATGTCCAATGTTAGACCGAGCCTGATAGCGACAGATGATGTTTTAGGGTGTGGTTGGGGGGAGGGGGTAGAGAGCAGGGACCCAGGAAATAGATTGGTGGCAATTAGGTGGTGAAAGAAGGGGTGGAAACAACCACATTAACAACACGGAGGACTGGAAATCTAAACAACCGATGCTCTTGGCTCTGTGGAAGTCTGTATGTAAAAAAGTGTGATAGGGTGGAAAGGGACCGCCATCTTCTGCTAGAAACAGCTGGGAGGGGAGAAAGGACTCCTTAGGGGATGCATGTCTTCCACTCCTGGATAACCTACAGGCTTAAAAATCCTCAGAAAATAGGCTGAGGGGCCCAACAGAAGGCTCCCATCCTTAGGCCAAGGCCTGGGATGGAGGAGAGCAGGTTATATTGGGCTGAGCGTGCACGAGTTATTTAATGTATCAAGAGTGAGGGGCAGCATGTGGATGATGGCCAGATAACTGAGACCCATAGGACAACAGCCTCAGGGAAGGGCCTCTGGGGTGCTGAGTATGACCTCTAGGGAGATTCTGGGGGAGAGTCATCCGGGATGGGAAGCTGCAGATGGACTCCCTCCAATCTGTCCTGGTACATGCAATAGCTTCACTCCTACTGGTGAGATCATTGATCCGTCCAGATACGGGGGCACACACTGATGAGTGAAGCTCAGCTCCTGGGGTCTAGATGCCAGGCTGATCAAAGCAAATCTTATTTATTGTGTCTGATGTGTTCCTTCTTCTGGCTGAATGTAAGCTCCTTGAAAGCAGGGACTGTTTCACTATGGTTTTTATATCACCACCTGGGTCATGTAGATGGGTGCTTAATAAATGCTTCTGGATTGATCCTGTCCAAGAGTAAATAGGAATTTGGTTTGTTTTGTCGTAGAATATGAGTGTGTCGGAAGCCAGGGGAAACATCCTCAGGTACCAGGTGACTATCCGGGAGGTGACCAGGAACAGTTCGGACGTGCCCCATACCCTGGAGAACTTTACCTCACACACTCACTTTGCCGTGGTTCTGCCCCAGAAGGACTATGCTGTGGCTGTCTCTGCAGTTAACTCGGAAGGAAGCTCCTCTCCCTCTTGGACCTTCATCCCCCGTCAGCCCCGCGAAGGTAGGAGCGACCTTTGGCTAGCTTTTGCTTGCAGGATGTTCACGCCCGGGAAAACCAGCAGGTCACTTCTTGGTGGTTATGCTCTGGAGCCCTCCTTGCCCCTGGACGCAAACCCCATCACAGCCCATTCTGTTCAAATGCAGCCCTCGCTCTAATGAAAAGATAATTGAGTCCCACTGGGATAAGAAGTCCTTAGTCTGGGATGAGGCAGCACCTTGGAGCGGCCAGAATGAGGGCTTGGGCCCAGGAATACCTGGATATATGAAATTATGTACTGTTATACAGATATAGACACACGTCTATTTATGTATATATCCGTGTGTGTGTGTGTGTGTGTATCCATATGTATATATCCATATGTATATATCTATGTGTGGTGCTTTAAGATTTGCAAAGTAATTTACAGATATCTCTTCTTTACAACAATCTTGGGAATTTCTAGATACTATTATTATCTCCATTTTACAGGTGAGGAAATTGAGGCAGACAGAGATTAAGTGACTTGTCCAGGGTCACACAGCTAGTAAGTGTCTGAGGCAAGATTTGAACTCAGGTCTTCCTGACTTGAAGCTCAGTGTTTTATTCATTTCAATGGCAGAGGAGTTTATGGAGCTGAATCCATGGGAACACAGATGTAAGTAGAAACAGAATGGTAGGCAAGTTTCCAGAAGAGAAAACTGAAGCCTAGAGAGGGGTAAGGTCTGTGAAGGTCACAGGGCTAGTCAGTGGAAGAGCTGGAAGGAGACTCAGACTCTAGGGCTGCCAACAGTGGAAGACTGGGGCGGGGGGGGGGGGGGGGGGTCTGTGAAAGTGGGGGGATGGGTGGGGCAGGGCAGGGCTGGTGGCTGAGGCCTGAGATACAGCCAGAAACACACCAGGGAAGAGGCAGGTCTTCGGAAGAGTGTCAGAGGAGGAGAAGGATGTACTTTGGAGCAGAGGGAGGACAGGTGGGGCTGACAGCCTAGCCGTGGAGTCAGAAGTGAAAGCCGCGTGTGTGGGACGGGGCAGAGGTGGTAGAGCAATCTTCGTGCCTGAAAGAGAGAGCATCAGCCAGCTGTGGTGGTCATTACAGGCACTCAGGTGGATGTGGGAACAGTGCAGACAGCTGGCACGCGGCCTCTGATTTGAGCTCGGAAGCAAATGAACACTCAATGCTTGCTCATTCAACAAACACTGACTGAGCATCTGTGTGCAGGGATGTGTACAGATGTGCACATATGTAATGCTTCATAGTAAAAGGTAAAATATATAAACTACAAGAAGTGCTAAATAAAATGTATTATATGTTATATAGTAGATATGTATATAATGTATTCTATAATAGATATATAGATATAATGTATGTTATAATATATCACAATGTATTATATATAATTATCAATATGTTGTATAATAGATATAATATGTATGATGTATTATATAATATATAGAGTATGCATAATATATTATACAATATCACAATATATTACATATAATTATCAATATATTATAATAGATATAATATGTATAATGTATTATATAACAGATGTGTAGATAGCATATACATAATATATATCACAATGTATTATATATAATTATCAATATGTTATATAATAGATATAATATGCATAATGTATTATACAATAGATGGATAGGGTGTGCATAACATATTATACAATATCATCATATATTATATATAATTATCAATATATTACATATGTATATAATACATGATTCCTGATCTCTCTGAAACATATAATCTAATAGAAGAGATGAGGACCAAAGGATGACAGGTTTGGAACTGGAATCAATCAATCAACAAACATTGATTAAGCCTTTTCTATATGCCCAGTATTGTCTTGGATACTTGGGATACAAAGGAAGGAAGGAAAAGAAAGAGAAAGCCTGCCTTCCAGGAGCTTCTGTTCTATCAAGGAAAGTACTAGAAGAGGCCCAAGGCCATCTGGTCCAAATCCTTCCTTTTATGGATGAGAAAACAGAGTCTTAACTAGTAGTAAATGAGTGGTGAGATTTGAACCAGGGTTTTCTGGCCCCCAGGGCAGTGTTTTTTCCACTGAGCCGGCCAGGTATGGACAGAATCCTGGCCATGGCCCCCGAGTCCCATCACTAGCTATGGGGCCCTGGCCACGTCAGTGGCTTTCTCTTATGCCCATTTTCCTCTGGACTGGACACTTTTAGGGCCCCTTCCTGTGACTCATCTGTGATTCTAGGCTGGTTTGATGTGTATGGAAATGACTGTAACACCAAATATGGCCTGAGGGCCAAGGAGGAGGCTGAGGGAGCTCCAGGAGGGTCTGCTGCAGGATGGGAGGGGAGCAGGCAGGGAAGGCCTCTAGGCTGCATGTGACATCCGGGGTGGCGTGGGTCCAGGGAGCTGAGGAATGGTCCTTCGGTTTGACGGGAGCAGCCCAGCCTCCTGAATGCCGTCCTGGCCACCTCTGAGTTAGGAAAACCTGGGTTCAAGCACACACCAGCTAGGTGACCCTGCCTGACTCTGCCCCTGGGAGCACTCGTGAACTTTCTAGGAATGATATGTAGGATCCATGGAAATACTTAAGAGGGAAGGCCCTGGAATAAGAGGGGTTGAGGAAGGCTCCCTGTAGAAGGTGGAATTTTAGTTGAGACTTAAAAGTGCCCAGGGGTCCCTAGACAGACTACATAGGTCTTATACTCCAGTATAAATTAATAATAGCCAACCTTTGTAAAACTTCAAAATACACATTTGAGCCTCAACAGCCCCGTGAGGAGGGTGCCATTATTCTTCCCATTTTACAGATGAGGAAACTGAGGCAGACAGAGGTGGCATGACTTATCCAGGCACACAACCAGTAATGTCTGAGATGGGATCCTCACTCGTGTCTTCTTCACTATCCCAGGCCCCCTCTGTGTTCCCGAGGTAGAAGATGTCCAACATGGCTTACACTTCTACAGCACAGTGAGGTTCACAATGCGCTTTCTTCCCAACTGTCCTGTGAACTAAGCTGGGAAAGCACTGTTGCCTCTACTTTACACATAGGGAAACTGAGGAAGGCCCTGAAATGTTAACTAACATGCTAGGAAAGCGTCAGAACCAGGATTTGAACCCAGGTCTCAGACTTAGAAGGATATGGAGACTGACTGAATGTGGAGAGGGAGAATGCACAGGTTCTAGAAAGACAAAGGTTCTAGATGGGTTCTAGAAAGATAAGGACTGAAAAAGAAAAGCTAAATTAAAGCAAAAAAAACTTGAGAAAGATGAAAAAAAATAGCCTGGAAAGAGATGCCGGTGTGCAGCTTCTGCAAACAGAAGTGATGGGAAATGGGGAGGGAACCGCTGAAAGGTCATTGCTGCAGTCTGGGAGAAGCCGGGTAAGCCCTGCCTGCAGCTGGAATCATGAGCATGGAGATGAGGGGTTCAGTGTAAGGCGTATTCTGGAGGAGGCTGGCAGAACTAGTAAGAATAGGACATGTGATGGAGGAGGTAACATGGAGTGTACAGCATTGGGTGGCTCAGGACATGGGCTCAAATCTCACCTCTGACACTGACTGCCTGTCTGACTTTGGGCACGTCAGTGATCTCTCTGGACTCAGTCTCTTCATCTGTGAAATGGCAGGGTTGTGTGAGGTGGCCTCTAAAGCCCTTCCCAGCTGTCTGTCTGTGATGCCGTGACTCCTCACCTGGATAACTGCCCATGATGCATCGCCCTTCCTCTGGTCCTCTAGAGGAGAAAGATGGAGCCTGGTGTGGGCACGCTGGGGTCTCCACGCCAGAAATAACTCCCACTGGCAGCAAGATGTGAGGCCCTTCAGAAGAGAGGGTGACAAGACACGGTGACCATGAAGAGCACACAGAAGGGCCTAATGACCTAAAAGCACCTACTACACACTTTACCGTTCATCCCAGCCAGTGTTATCATTCATTCATTGGATCATGGGTCCAGAGCTTCAAGCAAGAGAACTTGAGGCCATCAATTCCCACCCCTTTGTTCTACAGATGAGGAAACTGAGGCACAGAGAGGTCAAGAGACTGGTCTAGAGTCACATAACTACCAGGTGAGGCAGGACTTGAACCCAGATCCTTGTATCTCCACATCCAACATTCTTTTCCCTATACTATGCCATCTTTCATGAACAGATGCAAAGTGAATTAAACAGTCGTGGAAAAAAAACGTACACAATGACTACAGCATTGTAACTGGAAAGAGTCGCAATAAAAGATTGAAACTGGGTGTTGTGAAGTTATCACAATGGAGCTTGGCCCCAGAAGGTTTTCAGAGAGGAGAGGACAGCGCCCCACTTTCTCCTCAGAGATGGGGAACTCGGGGCTGCATGATAGGGGTGACTGTTGCAGGTGCTGTTTGGTTTACCTGAACAGTCTTTTCTTTTTCTCTCTTAGTCGATATACATGTATTAAGCACCTACTGTGTGCCAGGCACTGCGGATACCAAGAAAGTCAGGGCAGTCGCTGCTCCCAGGCGGCTCACAGCATAATTGGGGGACAACACAGAAACAGCTGTGTACAAACCAGCCCTGCAGGCTAGGCGGGGGCTGGGAAAGACTGTCAGGAGGTGGGGTGAGATGGCAAGGAAACCAGGGATTATGAACACTGGGTCTCTAGGAGGGGGCCTGGAGGTGCTGCAAAAGAGGAGAGATCGAGGTCTTGGGGTTTGGGGTGTGTTTCTGCCAGGGGTTGCAATGGAAGTCGGGTATATACTGTGGATGGGCCCCATGTTGCAAAGGGAGTGGCCCGGAGCTCAGAAGGCCCTTCATTAGGAGAGAAGAAGCTGGAAGATGTGAGGATTCAAAGGGCGCACTTGAGGACCTACAGAGCCACATGTGGCCTTGAGGCTGCAGCTTTTCCACCCCTGGCCTAGACAACCACCTCCCAGGGCCCTTCCAACTCGAGATCCTGGGATTCTGACTCGAAATTCTCCCCTGACTTGGCTGGAATGAGTTGCTCTTACCAATGGCCTCTGTCTCTCTGTGCTTTTTCCTTTATAAAGCTCCTCGAAACGTCTTGGCCAAACCTCAGGGGACAGATGGTATCAGGGTGACTTGGGAGCCTCCTCATGGAGCTGCCACCTTGGTCAAGGAGTATTTGGTGGAGTGGAGAGCCCTTGGCACGGGCAACAGCCCGTCCTCGCCCATCAACTGGGGCCGACTTCCCACTGTCAACATGTCCACCGTGATATCAGGTAATGAACCCACCAGCCCTCCTCCAGAACGTTCTGTCATATTGCCCTGAATACAAGTCATGCTGGTTGTGTGTGTGTGTGTGTGTGTGTGTGTGTGTGTGTGTGTACATAATACTGAATATATACACACACATTCGCAGGCAGAATAACACATGTATTGTATATATGTGTTATGCATGTATATATATGTTATATTCCCTATATAGAAAATAATTACAATAGAGGATAGGTGGGCAAGTAGATAGAATCTCAGGCCTGGAGTCAGGAAGACTTATCTTCCTGAGTTCAAATCCGGCCTCAGACACTGACTAGCTGTGTGACCTTGGGCAAGTCACTTCACCCTGTTTGCCTCAGTTGCCTCATCTGTAAAATGAGCTGGAGAAGGAAATGGCAAACCACTCCTGGATCTTTGCCAAGAAAATCCCAAATGGGGTCACAAAGAGTCAGATGTGACTAAAACAAATAAACAACAATCCTATAAAAAAAAGTCCAAACGGGAAGTTCCAATATGTGGTGGGGTCCCCCAGATGCCTCTGTTTGCAAATTCTGTGGCTCGCTTGTATCAAGCCCTGGAACACTGTTTGTCAGTGAGACACTCAGAAGAGCTCAGACCGTCAACCCACGTGGGGAAAAAAAACCAGTTGGGTGAAGAATGCCCTTGTCCGGCCTGTGCCAGAGTGTCGGCTGCCCTGTACATGGAGTTGACTGATCAGCACACATATTTTGAATGGATCCTGATGATGGACAATTGGCCGAGCCCAGAACTGAACAGGAAGAAGGCTGCCCTTTGGAGAAAGTATATTGCTTTCAGTAACTGAGAGATGCTTTCTAGAGAAAATGAAGACAACTCCCATCTTTTCTTTCTTTTTTTTTTTTCCACACCAATCTTCTTCCAGGCATTTCTCCAAGACTCTGGTTGCCAAGCAGGTGCTACTCAGCATTGGTAGAGGGAGTTTTCTTATTATACTAATGAAATCACATCACAGGTCTAAGCCAAAAAAAGAGCCAGACATGATTCTAGTAAGAGGGATAATTAGGTGGCAAAGAGTGCTGCGCCTGAGTTCAAATCCTGCCTGAGACACTTACTAGCTGTGGCAAGCTACTCTCTGTGCCTCAGTTTCCTCATATGCAGGGGAGATAATATTTGTAAAGCACTTTGAAAACTCAAAAGAGCCATGCAAATGTTACCTCCAGAGTCCTAGAGGATTGTCTGGGGACACTCTGACCACAGACAGAGGAGCTACTTCTGTGCATCGGTGGACAGTCTCTACACCTACAGGTCCTTCCACAGATGAAATCACAGGATCATAAGGTCATAGCGTTAGAGGTGGGAAGGGCCTGAGAGATCATCGGGCACAAATCCCCTTCTTTCACATATGAGCAGTCTGAGGCCCAGGAAAGTTAAATGATGTGCCTTGTTGCACAGCTACTAAATGTCGAGGAGTGATTTGAACCTGGGTCTTCCAGACCAGTAGTATCAGATTCTTATAGAAAGGGATCCCTGCAGGCTGGCACATTGACTCAGGAAACCATTAATTAACATCATCTGTGTCATATGGTATTTTTATTAATTCTGTTCAACATTTCTTCATTACATTTTAATCTGGTTCAGAGGCACTGAAAGTTTGGCTGGCTGTGAGTTTGACACCTCTGTCCTAGACCCCAAGCCTTGGGCTCTCGCCGCTGTACAAGCTGCCTTCTCACAAGACCAGACTTCCCCCTAGATATCAGAAACATGCTTCCAGTGATGCTACAGGGCCATGGCTCATGAATCACCACCATCTCTGAAGAATAAGAAAAAGTAACAGGCACCAAGGGACCAGGGAAAGAGATGTGTGGCAGGCATCAGCTGGCTGTGGCACATTGTTATTGGAGGCTTGCACACGTAGTGTATTGCCATTGCAGGCTCACACACGGTAAATGGCACAAACGAGTTCCATTCAGGAGATGGGTGATTGGAGGGGAGGTGGTCATCCTCTGAGTGAGGGATAGCAGTTGGACAAGCTTGGATTTTACACCACAGCCAGGCCTAGCGGACGGTCTTCAGTGTATGGAGAATTTCCTCTCTAAGAGGGACAGGAGGACGTGGACGGGGGTCATGGGATGGGAAGACCAACTTAGTTGTGATCGGTTCCATTGCAGGGAATAGCCGCATCCAGGAAATCATGGCTCCAGGGAAGTGCTTGCAGTATCCCTGATACATGCCATCTTGTTAGATTCGGCCCATCTTCCTAGTCTCTCACACTCTTGCTGGCTTGGCCAGTAGAGGGGTCCCAGTGACCTTCTGAAGAGTACTTTTAGAAGGCTGGTCAGTGTGGAAGCCAGGATTCATGAGGTTAAAGATGATGATTGGGGAAGGGCCACTGTGGATAGATAGCTGGCCTCAGAGACCTGAGTTCAAATCCTCCTCCCAGCACAAATCCTGCCTTAGATACTTGGTAGCTGTGTGAGTAGTCGTCTAGTTTTTGCTAGATGATCCTGCATGTTCATTAATGTCATTTCCACTGATAAAATAAGGCTGGTTTCTGGTGTTGAGCCACTGGACAGGGCCTTGGACTCTGGTGGAGAGAGTGTTCCTCTGTGGGTCTTCAGAAGCTGTGGCTGCAGCTCCCACAGTGATGGCTGCCGGGGGGGGGGGGTCAGTATTTAAACCCAAACCCTCCAAGTCTCCTCCTCTCACCATTCCTCCATGAGGCTTCTCAGTGGGTTCATCACAGTCAGAGCTAGACTCCTCAGGCTTAGGAACGCCAGAGAAAAAACCACCCACAAAATCCATTGACTTGGGTTTTGACCCAGACCATCTTCTGAGCCCATGGTCAGGGGACCATTGATTTCATGCTGGAAGGGAAGGGAGAGGACACCTGGTCTAATTCTTCTCATTTCACAGAGCCAGAGGTACTGAGTCCCAGGCATCTGAGGTAGGCGCCCAGTGCCTAATGCGGACTGTCCTCCCAGGAGGAGGAGTCCACACAAGGTCACAACATCCATTCCAATATCTCCCCATAAGCCTTCAGACTCGGGCCCAGGCGGGGGGCCTCCCTCCAATCTGTCATTAAGATTGCCAGACCTCACCAGCCAGGTGCAACTCATTGGTGCACTGGTTTGTGACCTGGATGGAGCGCCCATGGCCCTAGGCAGTGCACCGCTTCATTCCACATGGGTGGAAAAGCAGAACGTGGTTCAGGAGCTCACCTACGGGAGGGCCGCACAAAACGTAACTCTGTTCTTGCCCTGTGAGTTTCTGAATGGGCTTGGGGCTATCTCGTAGTTTGGAGCTAATGATGACTCTTCCCTTATTTCACTTGGCCAAGGCACAATCGCTGCGGATCAATACCCCAACAAACGCACCTAGGGGTATTGTTTTTGGAGGGGGACCTCTTTTCATGCTTGCTCCCAATAGTAGCAATGCTGGCTCTGGACACCTGCTGCTTAATGGGATTTCTTGGTTAACATTAGGTTGTCTTCTGAAGCCACGTCTTTCTGTCTCTCTGTGTCTCTTTCTCTCTGTTTCTCTCTCTGTCTCTCTGTCTGTGTTTCTGTCTCTGTCTCTCTCTCTGTCTCTCTGTCTCTGTCTCTCTCTCTGTCTCTCTGTCTCTCCTCCCCTCTTTTTTCCCTATCTTTTCCTGTTCCCTTGTGTTTTTCTCTCTATCCCCTCTTCTCTCTCCCTCTTTTTCTCACACTTTCACACATGCACAGGCACGAGCAACACACACACACACACACACACACACACACACACACACACACACACACACACGTCTCTCTGAGAACTTCCTATTTAAAACCCGGGTGATCCATCCAAAGAGAAAGTGGTCATTCTAACAGATTGGCCAACTATTCAGCTACACCCCAGATGGGGCCCCCATCTGATTATTAGATGATTGTAAAAGGCTCTTAATTCGTGGCCCCACCTCATCTCTTCCCACTCTAATCCATCCTCCCCTTAGCTGCCAAACAGATAATCCTCAACAAGCCTACGCCTGACCTGTCATTTACCCTTCTCAGTAAACGCCAGCAGCGACCGTGTCCTCCAGGGTCCAATAGAACATCCTCTATTTGGCATCCAGAGCTGTCCATAACTCGGTCGTTTCCTGCCTTTCCAGAATTCCTACACTTTGCCCTCTTCCAGACACTCCCTGCCCCGTGGCCACTGCTGTCTGTCGCACATCCCCTACGCTCCGTGCTTGTGCACCGGCTCTTCCCAACCGCGGAAGGCGCTGACTCCTCGCATCTGCCTCTGCTTCCCTGGCGTCTTTCACGACTCACCTCAGATCCCACCTTTCTCAGTCCCCTGACGCTCGTCCTTCCAAGATGACCTCCATTTCCCCCTGTGTGTTTCCTGTATGTCCATAGTCATTTGCACATTCTCTCCTTTATTAAAGTGTAAGCTCCTAGAGAACAGGGAGCTGGTTTTGCCTTTCTATATAGTGCCAATACTTAGCACAGGGCCTAGCACGTAGTAGCAATGATAGCTAACATCTATATGGCACTTTAAGGTTTGCAAAGCACTTCACAAATTGTATCTCATTTGATCACAACCACCCTGGGAAGTAGGTGCTGTTATTATCCCCATTTTACAGGTGGGGAAACTGAGGCAGATAATGGTGAAGGAACTTACCTAGGGTCCTTCCACAGCTAGTAAGTTTCCGAGGCTGGATTTGAACTCAAGTTTTTGTGACTTCAAGGCTAGGGCTCTATCTACAGTGCCAACCACCTAGTTTTATTTCTGGAGTTTAATTAATGCTTGTTAACTGACTGCATTGTGTTATTGAGGTTTTCGTGGCAGGTATGTCAGGGTGCAGGCTGCTACTTCAGAGGTGAAATGTTTCTCTGCTCAAGCATGATAATGTCTATCGAGCAATTTGTAGTATGTAAGCAGTATGTAAATAATAGTCATTATTATTAGGTTGTATATAAGTATATACCATATATAAGTATTGTCCACACACACACACACACACATACATACATATATACCTCCATATATGTAAACATACATTTATAAAGTTAGTCCAACAAATTTAATTCAACAAACATTAGATTCTTCCTTTATGCCCTATACTAGGCACTGGGGGTGATACAAAATTTAAATAAAGTACAGTTCCTGCCCTCATGAAATTTATGTTCTACTGTAGGAATGAGAAGAGTGTGGATAACAATATTCTTGTTTTTGCTTTTTGGCGAGGCAATCGGGGTTAAGTGACTTGCCCAGGGTCACACAGCTAGTAAGTGTCAAGTGTCTGAGGTCGACAACACTATTCTTTAACAACGATTCTCCAATCTGTTGGTCTCAGACTCTCTTTCTGCTCTTCAGAATTATTGAGGGCCTCAGGAACCTTTTGTTTATGGGGGAATCATAGCTATCAACATTTACCATATTAGAAATTAAAAATGATAAAAATGTTAAAATATTGGTTCATTTAAAGTAACAATTACAAACACATTACATATTAACATAAATAATGTAGTTTGTGAAAAATAACTATTTTCCAAAATAAAAAAATTTAGTGAGAAATGTAGCATTGCATTTACACTTTATATATATTTTTGCAAATATCTCTAATGTCTGGATGGATGGAAAACAGTTGGATTCTCCTCTCTGCTGCTACAGTTGTGCTGTGATGTTTTGATTGAAGTCTGAAGAAAATCCAACATTGCATGGATACATAGTTGGAAAGGGGAGACATATTAATAGGCAAATACATGTCCTCCTATTATTATAAAGGTAGTTTTGACCTCATGAGGCCAGCTGAAATTCCTCGGTCTTCGGGCCACACTTGGAGAACCCCTGCCCCAGAAAACTTCACAATGAGGGTATTAGGGTGAGAGTCATCAGGGAAGTCTTCTTGGAAGACATGTATTTGAGTTGGACTTCAAAGAATAAATAGAAATTCAATTGGCAAAGAGAAGGATGGACAACATTTAACGGAGACAACCTGGTACGGTGGAAGGAGCAGAGTGAGCTCTGGACTCAGAGGACTGGGGGTGCTACCTGTGTGACCACGACTTAAGTGAGCGCCCCCTGAGCTGTAAACCAGGGGAGGGCTGCCAAAGAAAGGGGCAGGGGATGGAGTTGCCAGGCTGGATGGGAGAAGTAAGGGGTGACCCGTACCCGGGTTGTTGAATAGGGACGCCCACGCTCGTTGCTTTTCTGGCTGTCCTCTGTGATCAGACTTTTTTATTTTTCCATGCAGAACACGTAAGACCCCACCTGTGTTACCAGATCCGCCTGTGCGCCCTGTGGGGGGATGGAGCCGGCTGCGCCAGGACCTGGGCTGATCTGACCAGCAAAGGTGCCGTACTCTGCGCCCCATGGGAAGAGAGGGGGGCGGGACGGCTTCCTGGGAGTCTCAGGCTCTCCTGTTATACTTCGTTCTGTTTCGCAGAACCCCTGACCGGCCCCCGTGTCCAAAACGCCACAGCGGGCAAAGGCACAGCGTCCGTTACCTGGGACGAAATCCCTGCTCAGGAGCAAATGGGCTGCCTCCTCCATTACAAGATCTACCTGCAGGAGCCGCGCTCCCAGTCCCCGTCTCACATCTTCGGTAGGTGGATGTTCCAAAAGCCTGGAGCGGGAGGGGCAGGCAGACGCCCGCCCCCGCCCCGAGCCTCCCAGTCCTTTTCGGAAGTGACTGAAGGTTCAGTAAGGCTTGGATGGCCATGGTCAAGGCACTGCCCCACCAGGGACCTCAGATTTCTCCCTAGTGGAAAAAAAGCTTGAAGTAACTACTTTTTTTTGGGGGGGGGGCGGCGGGGAGGAGAACACTGCTTGTTGAGTCAGGAGGAAGTGAGTTCAAATTCTGCCTTGGTGACCTTGGGGAAGTCCCCGCCTCCTGGGCTCCAGTCGCCTGCTTATTACAACAAGCGGGTCGGACTAGGTGGCCTCTCTGGCCTTCCCAGTTCTAAATCTATAATCCTTTCCTCCTTCTATGCTCCAGGCACCAAAAATACAAAACCAAAAAATTCCGTGCCCGTAGCCCCCAACATTTGTAAAGAGATGAGCTTGGCATTACGTTATTAAATGACATTTAAGGTCGGGAACAGCTCTTGGAGAGGGACTGGGCCATACTTGATGAGCCAAGGCACGCTGTCACATATGTAAAGGACCCACATGAACCATAGACGTGCAAATCCGAAATGCAATAGTCTAGCATTGGTGGGGCGCTATGGAACCGTAATAAACACTGGCTCTGGAGGCAATGGACCTGGGTTCGAATCCCATGCCTGGAGCAACACCTGTGGGAAATTGGAAGTCATTTAGCCATGGGCAGCTAGGTGGTTCAGTGGAGAGAGCATCAGGCTTGGAGTCAGGAAGACCTGAGTTCAAATGTGGCCACAGACGCTCACTGGCCGTGTGACCCTGGGTAAGTTACTTAAAAATGAAATACGTGCACATAGATTTTTTCCCAATTATACATAAAAACAATTTTTTAATATGAGGGTTTTTTTAAAATTCCAAATTCTATCCCATTCCCTTCCCTCCTCCCTCCCTGAAATGGTATGCAATCTGATAGAAGTTATACATGTGCAATCATGTAAAACGTTTCCATATTAGTCATTTTGTGCAAGAAGACTAGGAAAGAAAGAAAAAGAGGAGAGAGAGAAAGGAAGGAAGGAAGAAAGGGAGGGAGGGAGGGAGGGAGGAAGGAGAAAGAAAGAGAGCGTGCTTTGGTCTATATTCCATAGCCATCAGTTCTTTGTCTGGAGGCAGATAGCGTTTTCCATCATGAGTCTTTTGGGACTATCTTGGATCATTGCATTGCTGAGAAGAGCTAAATCACTCCCAGTTGATTGTCCTTACAATGTTGCTGTTACTGTTTCCTGCTTCTGCTCACTTCACTTTGCATCAGTTCATGTAAGTCTTTCCTGGTTTTTCTGAAATTATCCTGCTCGTCATTCCTCATACCTGGGCAAGTCACTGTTTGCCTCAGTTTCTTCTTCTGCAAAATGAGCTGGAGAAGGAAATGGCAAACCACTCGAGTATCTTTGTTAAGAAAACTCCAGCAGGGGTTTTCACAACCTAAATGACTGAACAACAAGCCTGTTTCCTCTTCTGTAAAATGAGGGATTTACACTAACTGGTGTTGGAGGTCCTTTTCCCCTTCAAATCTATGAATCCATGATCCTAGCAGCATTAATGCCAATCTTATCCCGTATAGTTTTTTGGAAGTGTCTCCCACGTACCTTCTGCACACTGACCATGTGTTTCCTTGACTACATATTTGTTAGAAGCTTTTTTCCCCTTTGTTCTTTTAAATTAAAAAGGGCAGAAGGGAGAGAAAATAAATGCTTGTTAACTGAAAAATAAAATAAAATGGAAAAGAGGAAGCGTCTCCTACCAGTGCACCAGCATCTCTCTGGCTATCTGCTAATCAGCTTTTATCTCTCCATTACCTTCTTCTATTCTAAAGCTTTCCTCCGCTCCCCCAGCAGTTTATTAGGAGGCCTCTTAGATCCTTTTCCGAAATCTGACACTGCACCGAGTCCCAGACCGGCATATCTTGCTAGACTTCTTTCTCTTCTCTCCAGTTAATTTCCAGACCACAGAGTCACCCCTCAGCTATCACCACCTCCAAATCCACCCCTGTCTGGCATATACTTGCCCACAATCAGGATCCTATGAACCTTTTTTTTTTTAATCTTCAACTCAACACACCATCAAACTCCCTTCTGGCTCAGGGCTGCTCAGCTACTCCTCACGGCAGGGCATCAGCCGGTCGGACAAGCGTGACCTTGAGAAAATTGGCACAGGGCTTTCTCTGTCGAGGCAGTTCAGCAGGGTGGACTAATGGAAGGAGTCTTAGCTATGGAGGCAAACAGTCTGGGCATGAGGCAGGTCTGCCTCTTACAGGCAGTAGGTCAGTCTTTGCCCAGCAGGCCGTAAGCTCCCTGAGGCCAGGGACTGTTCCTTTTTTCTGTATTTCTACATGGCCTGGTAGTGAATCTCATCCACAGGTCCTTACCCTTTTTTGTGGTTTCTGGACCCTTTGGGCAGTCAAGTGAAGCTCATGGACTCCTCCTCAGAATCATGTTTTTGGAAATCAATTCTATGGGATAAAGTTATCACCTAAGTTGCACGGTGGATAGAGGACCCAGCCTGCTGTCCAGAAAATCTGAATTCGCATCCAACCTGAGACACTTTAGCTAGCTGTGTGACCCTGGGCAAGTCATTTCACCCTGTTTGCCTCCGTTTCCTCATCTGTCAAATGAGCCGGAGAAGGAAGTGGCCAGCCACTCCGGGATCTCCGCCAAGAAAACTCCAGATGGGATCACGAAGAGTTGGACATGACTGAGCAACAAAAAAAGCTGTCAAAATATTCACAAGCCCCAGGTTAAGAATCGGCAAGACTAGTCCAAGAACGATTGTGTGCAAACGCTATCATCTACATTGTATATTGGGAGGGATCCTGGATTTGAAGTTGGCAAGACTTGGGTTTGTGTCTTACCTCTAACATATCCTGGGCTGTATGGCCCCAGGTAGGTCACTTCTCTGCAGGCCCCCAGGCAGCAGATCTGCTTTGGTAGAGGGAGTTTCCTCACTGGGAGTTCCCCACATCGATGGAGTCGCAGGTTCAGCCCACGGGCCACTTCTCCCCATCCCCCACTCCCTCACGTCCCCCAAAGTTGTGATTTCGTTGGACAAGAAGCCGTTTTCTCTGTCCGTGCAAGAGACCTGGGTAGCCAATCAGTCGTCAAGCCTTTATTAAGGACCTACTGTATGCCCAGCACGGGACTAAACCCTTTACAAACATCGTCTCGTTTGATCCTCCCAGCGACCCTGGGAGGTAGCTGCTATTATTATCCCTGTTTTACAGGCGAGGAAACTAAGGCAGGCAGAGGTTGTGACTTGCCCAGGGTCACACAGCTTACTAAGCGTCTGAAACTGGGTTTGAACTCAGTCTGCTGTACTCTCTGCACTACGACACCACCACAGCCCGAATTCATACAGTGCTCTGAGCTTATGCTTGGAGACTTGATTTCCACATTTGTGAAGCATCTCACAGCTGTCAGGAAAGTGTTTTGTGATTGCTGAAAGTGCCGTACAAATGTGAGTTATTACCATTATCGTCACTATTGGTACCGATGCTCCAAAAGTTCATTTTCTTCTACCGGATAAACACATGGGGTTGTCCTTTGACCCAAAGTCTGTATTAGAGCTGAGAGGCTGTGTAGTTCAGTGGGAAGGGGGCGGGATTGGAAGTCAGAGAGCCTGGATGCTGTCCTGTTGTTGGGCTATACAACTTACCTGACTTCTCTGCCCTCAGTTTCCTCATCTGTAAAATGGAAGGAGTTGGATTAGGTAGTTGCCAAAGTGTCTTCTGACTCTAAATCTTATGATCTCTTGATCTCAGAACAGACTTTTGGGTTCCCAGGGGCCTGGTGCTAATTAGCTGGCCAGGCCTCAGTCACCTCATCTGCTCAGTGGGGCTAGTCACGCTCACCTCACCCACATGTTGTCTGGCATTAATTGGAGTCTGAGAAAAACCAAGATTCTCAGTTATGAGGCACAGTCAAAGTGCTGAGTTCCATCATTCACATTAGGTCACCAGGACAGACTCATCCCTGCCTTGGGAGCAAAGGTGCCCAGGCAAGGCTGATTTTGCAGCCAGGATACCATCCTCACCCACCCAAGACCCAAAGTGAGTTGGCCCCACTCTTGAGCAGTTAGAAGGTCATTGGAGGAATTGCTGATCCCCCCTGCAGCCCATGTTTCTTTGTAGGGGGAAAAAGCCTTTGAGCATTTCTCTGAAAATAACTTTGGCTACACAGAACATCAGGAAACAGGAAAAGCATAAGGAAACTGAGTGTGCCAACAGATCCATATGGTTCCTACCGTTTCGTTTAATAGCTTCACACCAGTGAAAATAGTAGGACCTTTGTGTTTTAAATAATTCTTTCCCTTTGAAAGACTACAGTGAGATGGATAGAGGTAGAGAAAGAGATGTAGATATATAGATAGGTAAAGAGATGGGTGGATTCGATGGACGGATGGATAGATAGTTACATGGATAGAGAGATGGATGGTTGGGTGGGTGGATGGATGGATGGAGAGATGGTTAGATGTATAGAGAGATGGATGAATGGATAGAGAGAAGGTTGGATGGATGGATGGATGGATAGATGGATGGAGAGATGGTTAGATGTATAGAGATGGATGGATGGATGGATGGAGAGAAGGTTGGATGGATGGATGGAGAAATGGTTAGATATATAGAAAGATGGATGGATGGGGAGATGGTTAGACAGTTAGATGGATGATCTGTGCTACCCTATTTCTGATTAGATAAGCCAAAAAAATTCCCTATGGGCATGGAACGGAACCTACTTTCTGTTGGGGCATAGCAAAGTTTTGGCAAGTCCCACATCTCTTTTCTTGAAACATTCCAGCCTTTCTCCCTCTTTCTGTCCTTATCCCCGCTTTCAGAAATTCCCTACGAGGTGGCAAACACTTCGAGGCTGATCAGAGGCCTCCGGCCTGGAGTCACGTATGTCTTGTGGATGACCGCCTCCACAGCAGCGGGAGAGGGCCCCCGAGGGAATGAGAGGGAGCTTTCCCTGGAAGGTGAGATGCAAACTCAAGAGGGAGGCCTGCAGGTCTCCTCCATGGGAGTGTCATCCTGAGCCTGCTCTGCTGTCTTCCCCCAAGCTCTGCCCGTGGCCCCATTTAGCCACCTCACAAGGTGCGTCCCATTCTTCCCACCTCACGCAGGAGTTAAGCTGCTTCCCTGAGACCCACACCGAGTTAGTGGGAGAGGCTAGAAAGTTGATGAAAGCACCTGCTCTTCCTACTGCACCATCCTCCCTCACCAGCAAGTGAATTAATTTTGTTAGCCCAACCTGTGATTTTATCAGGATGGAGAATCCTGGGATTAAAACTCCTTCAGTAGCTACATATCAGGCCTCCTCAGCCACTTCTACGCTCGGCTCACGTGCCTTGTGCTGGGTTAGAGACAGTCAGTGGTACAGGCAGGCCTTGAACCCAGGTTATTCTGACCCCCAAGCTAGCTCTCTATCCATCATCACACGAGATAGCATATGCAGCGCAATTGCAACCTTAATGTGCTATCGAATTGTGCATTATTGTTATTACTGCCCCAACCTGCTCCTCTGTCAGTAGAAAATGAAACTCTCAATAGACTCAAGAGGATTCTTTTGACCTGGAAGAAACTGTAAGCATCAACTACCCCAGTCCTGACAGGTACACGTTTTCTTAGCCTTGCCCCCTTTAGAGTGTAAGTTCCTTGAGGGCAGGGGCTGTCTTTTGCCTTTCTTTGTATCTCCAGTGCTTAGCACAATACCTGGCAGATAATAGGTGCTTAATAAATGCTTATTGACTAAGAAGCCAAGATGCTCAGGGATCTTGCGATTTGCCCCAGACCACACAGTTAGTCAGTAGCAGAGTTAGGAAAGGACTCCAGGTCTCCTGATACAGTTCAATTCAATTCAGTACATACTAGTTAAGCACCTACTGTGTGCCAGGCACTGTACTTTTTACATGAAAAGAGGCAAAAGACAGTCCCTGCCCTCATGGAGTTTATGATCAAATGGGGGAGGCAACATGAAAATACATATAAAGTAAGCTACCTACAGGATAAAGAGGAGATGATAAACAGAGGGAAGGTGCTGCTCCTTCTCTGGAGGGGCAGCAGAGGTCGGTGTCTAGAACTCAGAGTCAGAAAAGACCCAGGTTCGAGTCCCAGCTCCAACACTGCCTAACTCACATGGTTCTGGGCAAGTCCCTCAACCTCTGACAGCCTCAGTTTCCTTACCTACAGAAATGACTTGTCCCTGCACTACTTCCCTCGCAGGTTGGGACAAAAGCATTTTATCAACTTTTTAGTGCGATGGCTGAGAGTTATTGTCAGAATATGAGCCCGAGCTTCTGTAGGAGGAAGGTTCACGAGATGTTGGCCAGACGTCCCTGAGCAATCACTGTAGCCAACCTGTGAGGGATTTCCTGCTTACCCAGAGCTCTTCATTCTGTATTTCACAGCCAGCCTCCAAGGCAGGAGTCACTGGTGTAATCATTCCCATTTTATAGATAAAGAAACTAAGAGAAGTCATCAGAAGGCAAGGACACAAGGATAGCACCGTCACGTGATGGTCACATTTCCAATCCAAGTGTTCACAAACAAAATAATGAAAAAAGCACTTATTAAGCACTTGTTGTATTCCAAGCACTGTGCTAAGCCTTGGGGATACATGGAAAGTTTGAGATGGTCTCTGCTGTCCAGCAGCTCCCACTCTAATTGGGGGAGGTGACACATATGCCAAAGGTAATTTGGAAATTATTTTCAAAGAGCACTGGGTCTCGAGTCAGGGGACCTGGGTTCAAATCCCATGTATATAATTGTTTGTGTATGTATGGCCTTGGGCAAATCACTCTTCCTTCCTCCCTCTCTCCCTTTCTTCCTTCCTCTCTCCCTTCCATTCTTCCTTCTTCCCTCTCTTCCTCCTTCCTTCCTTCCTCTCTCCCTTCCTCCCTCCATCCCTTCCTTCCCTTCTTGTTCTTGTGAACCCAAATTTTCAATCCAAATTCAAGACTTTTCATTCACCCCTCACTAGAGTAGCTGTCACCTCCTTCCTTCCCTTTCTGCATAGATTTCTAACAGATGAGCCACTTCCCCAGCGTTTCCTTGTAATTTGTGTCCATGGTAAAATCTGAGTGATACAGTCGGGTCTGGTTGCCCCAGACACCCTGTCCACACTGCCTGGTGGTGTGGCTTTATTTGCATGAGTTGCAAGCTCAAAACAAGTTGTTCTAGCTTTTTATTAGGAGGTTAATTAGGGTGACCGTCTCAGAGTTAGCCCATCCTCTAAGTTACGTCCTTATTTGGAAAGCAGGTAGAGGTAGCTTGGCAAAGGATTATGACAGCTTCATGACCCTAGAGCGGGAGGGACCCTGGCGGCTTTCTTGTCAAGTCCACAAACACTGAGTGTAAACTCTGAAAGACAGTCCCTACCTGCAGGGAGCTTACATTCTAGTGGGGGAGGACAGAACCTAAAAGGAAGGAGGAGGGAGTCTGGAATGAAGGCATGGCAGGCTGGAAAAGTTCTTCAAATGGAGGTTCTGGGAGGAACCAGCCAGTCCAAAGAAGGGGCCACAGAGGTGGAAAGCACTTCCGACGGGAGAAGCCCATGGGTGAGGTAACTTTTAGGGAGAGGAGGCTTCTGGGGCATGGGAGAACCCACCTGGAGGCTCAGGAGTGGAGGCTGGAGAGGACTGAAAACACAGGTGCTTAATAAATGCTCACCGACTCACCAAGATCATTCAGGCGGTTAAGCCTCTGAGGCAGGATTTCAACCCAGGTCCTTTGACCGCTGGCTTTGAGAACCCCTGGGCTGGAATCCTGGTTGTGTCCTTACCAGATGTGTAGCTTTGAACAAGGCTGGGTCTTGCATCTCTGGGTCTCAGTTTTCCTACTTGTGAAATGGGTGTGATAATAGTCATACTCCCTTATTGGGTGGTGGTGAGGCTAAAGACAATGTACATAAAGGGATCTGTAAACTCTGAAGTGCTGAGTCAAGGATAACTCAAGTACCAAAACTCACCTTGTCCCTCACCCCAACCCAGCCTCATCCCTGCCTTGAGCTGCTCTCGAGTTTCTCTCCCGTTTCTCTCCCAACCTTCCTGCTCCAGGCCAGGTCCCCCAGCCTGAAGGGCTGGCAAATTCTAAAATGTCCATTTTCTCTAATTTTAGCGTCCTCAACTATAAAGTAGGGATGATAACAGCACCTGCCTTGCAGGGCTGTCGTGAGGCTCAGATGAGGTTTGTGCAAGGTGCTTTGGCAAGGTGCCTGGAACACAGGAAGTACTGCACAAATGCTTATTCTCTCCCTTCTTCCCCGGTTGTCAGGCACTATTAAGTACAGAAGGTGGCTGACCAGTAGAAAGTGGCGGCAGTCAGAGGCCAGGATTGTTTCCACTAGAAGCTTACAGGATCACTTTCAGAGAACCAAGGAGTTAGCACATCATCCTCCACTGAAAAAACCTTCTTCAGCAGTCTCCTATGGCCGCTGCTATGAAAACTCTTCTCTGCCACACTCTTAAAGCCCGTCTGATCTGGCCCGCTCCCAGGTTTCCAGTCTTCTTCCCCATTCCTTCTCTGTGGACACTCACTAGCCCACTCACAAAGTTTTCCCTGTACATGACACAACCCAGCCGGCCCTGGGCTTGAGCAGGAGGGATCCCCCTCATCTGAAGTGCTTCCCCTTTTTCAAAGTGATGATTCTATGTGTCTGTAGCTGCGATGGGATATGGAAATATCCATGATTTTTAATAATGACAAAGTCACAGGTTCTGATAATGCTGCCTAGGTTTGTTGAATAATCCCCAATTGAAGGGAATGCTAGATTTCAGTTAGGGGTTGGTAAAACAAAACGGCATTTTTCTTCCAGCCACATTTACAGATCCCAGGTTAAGAACCCTTGCAGGACACCCCAGCCATAGTATTAGCTCCACTAAGCCACCACTGCCTTTAGGCTCTCCCCTGGGCCAGATTGCAGCACTTTCTCTTAGGACTTCTGAATCATTCTTGGGGGCCAGCCTTGGTTGTATAGGCTAAACCAAAAGGGAGTCATTTCGGTTTCCCAGCATGATCAACCAGGTCTTGGGGGCAGGGAGTAGACGAGACACATAGGAAGTTTATGAAGTGCCTACTGTGTGTTTGGCCCAGTGCTAACTGCTTTACAGCTATCTTATTTGATCCTCACACTGACCCTGGGAGGTAGGTGCTGTTATATCCTCATTTCGCAGACAAGGAAACTGAGGCAGGCAGGGCTGAAGAGACGCGCCCAGAGTCTTCACTTGGAAGGCACCTGAAGCCAGTTTGCTAATGTTTCAGATGCTCCCAATTGGAACATCCTGGCGGTGCCGATTGCCGTAGCCCTGATTGCGGTGGGGATTTTCTCTAGGCCTCGAGTTCGAGCAAAGTAAGTTGACTGTTCAGCCTCACAGCACCAGCAGAGAGCAGTCACGGCAGTGGCTTCTTTGTCCTGGGCCTTGACCCTTGGCTTCTAGATCCCATGTGGAAGCCACCATGTTGGACACTCCAGGGCACAGCTCTCCTTACATATTTACACTCAGAAAGGGCAGAACTTCACAGATACTGTGTCCCATAGTATTCAGCTAGCCTGCTCCCAACTCTGGCCTTTGGGCTGCTAATACAAAAGCTTCCAGTCATTCAACAAAAGCATTAGTTTTGTTAAGCATATTTATAAAAGCAAATCCTGCCCTTTCAGTGAAACAAGGATCCCCAGGCCTTGGGGGCCCCATGTGGGCTTTTAATTGGCTGCTTTCATTGCAGAGTGATGTCTGTCTTCTCGGCACTACAACCCCAGTGGTATAATCAAGAGATTCCAGACCCGGCCAACAGCATATGGGCCAAGAAATACTCCCTCATGGAGGTAAGCACTAGATGCCTAGTCCAATTAGCCTATCCTTCCTGTTTTGTAAGATGAGAGAGGACGACTTCTAGTCAGTACTGCAGTGTCACTGAGAACTTTGAATTTCTACCTACTTACATCACAGCCTGTTTTCTTTCCGGATCCGAGGCCAACAGGAACAAGTGGATTTTCTAAACTAGATACTCCAAGACTGAATGAAGATAACCTCTCTGGTAATTGGACTAGAGGCAGGGCAGAAGGCATGCGTCACCAGACCTGGACATAACAGGACTTGGATTCACATCTTGCACCTGGGTGACACTTCCTAGCTGTGTGACCCTGGGCAAGTCCCTTACTCTCCAAGGGCCCCAGTTTCCCCATCTGTAAATGCCTGTAGCACCCTTTATCTATGATCCTAGAACACCGGTCTGCTGGCCTTGTTCTTCAGAAGCACTCTTTTTTTTTCTCCCTTGGTCCCGCACACCCATCCTTCCACACACGCAGCTAGACATGGTGCTTTCAGAGGCACAAGTGAACAAGCCTTCTGGAGCATCTCATCCAGGCTGCTGGTGAATCCTTCTCTCTCTGAGCCTCAGTTTTCCTCAAAACAAAGAGGTGGAGTGCGTGGTTTCTACTGATATAATGTGTGTAAGGCATTTTGCAAACTTTAAAGCATCCTATAAATTATTATTTATTGTTGTTAAAAACTTTTCTGTGGCTACCCAGATGCCTCCCACCTTCTTTTTTTAATCTTCCCCCTAGATGCCCCATGCTGGGATTGTCTACCCTCCAGGGCACTTCAGGCCCTGTGGAAAGGCACCTACACTGACGTCTCTAAAACACTTCCTGGCTCACTATTTTTTTTTTTTTGGTGAGGCAATTGGAGTTGAGTGACTTGCCCAGAGTCACACAGCTAGTAAGTGTTGTGTGTCTGAGGCCAGATTTGAACTCGGGTCTTCCTGACTCCAGGGCTGGTGTTCTATCCACCGCGCCTGCCCCTTGGCTCACTATTTTCCAGGATCAAAGGTGCTCAGACACCAAATTGGAAACCTGAAAGGAAAAGAAATTTCCTAAATGCAAATGCATACCTTTGAATCCTACCTAAATAAATCATCGCCCTGTCCTTCCCTCATCACTAACATACCGACAAGCCCTACTTGAAGTATTCTTTCACACAAAAGCAGTTGGAAATTCCTGAAAGAAGATTTAAAAAAATTAAGGCAACTGAGATTCCCATTAATGTTTTAAATTTTTTTTAAATCAGAAAAATATGCCACCTCTCTCTCCCCCCACCCCCCAGCCCAATTGAGAAAGAAAAAGAAAACTTCTGTTTTAAAGCGGTACAGTCAGGCAAAACAACCCCTATTTTGGCCATGTCCAAAAATACAGATTTCTTATTCCTCCCTCCGAGTTCTTCACTGTTCCACAGGGAGATGGGCAGCACATAACCTCATCAGGCCTCTCAGAGTTCCTAAGCCTTCCAAAGTGTGTAGTCTTTCAGTGTGGTTATCGTGTACACTGTACTGGGTCTGCTTGCCTCAGTCTGCATCGCTTCATCCAAGTCTTCGTAGGTTTCTCTGGAAACATCCCCTTCATCCTTTCTTACACCACAATAGTATTCAATCACATTCTTACAGCATGACTCATTCAGCCCTTCCCTAATTGATAAGTACTCCCTTGCCATCACAAAAAGAGCCGCTATAAATATTTTTGTACATCTGCGGTTTGTTTTGCTTAGGATTAACCCCTCCCTTAACCTACCCTTCCTCTTATTCCCCCTTTTCTTCTTTCTCTGTTTCCCTGTTTAGTGAAATGTACCTCTATCCAAGTTTATATATGTTCTTCCTTCCTTGACTAGTTCAGAGAACAATGTTCATGTGGACTTCAGCTTGCCTGATTAGGGGAAATATTTTTTGCTACCCTCCCTCACCTATCCTTTGGTGTATTCCTCTTCTCTGCCCTTTCTTTTCTTCATTTAAGATCATCAAAATACAATAGGACCACTCCTAGGCCGTCTAACTAGACTCCATTTGTGACCCTTCATGATGGGGTCCAGAGGGGAAACACGTACCACCCTATGTTAGAATGTAAATAGCTGATCCACTGTTAGCCTCTTACAGTTGCTCGCTCATGTTTGTAGGGGCTTTTTCATTCTTTGTACTTGTACATTCCAAAGTGGAATAATCTGCTGTTGCTTTAGTGGGGTGGCTCTGGTCTACTGGATAGAGGGCAGGAGTAGCTGTGTGACATTTAGGCATGCGCCTAACCTCTATGTTTCAGGTTCTCTGTTGAATCACGGCCTTGTGAAATATTAGAGCTGGAAGGAACTTTAGGAACCATCCTGGTCCAAATTCTTCATCTTATGTTTAAGGAGGTCAACAAGCATTTATTAAGCACCTATTGTATGTGTCCAATACTGGGGATACAAAGAAAACATGACAGGGAGACACAGTTTAGCTAAGCCCCCAACTCCATCCTTGCATAGACTACAGTCAACACGAAGGCTCTGGGTCTGTCTCCCATAAATGCAATAGGTGGTATTTTATACGTGGGTCAAAAGAACATACCTACAACAAAGTACCACCTAAGGGGGAAGGTTATAAAACAATGACAAGTGAGTCCAGAGAAATCACTTAGTCCAGCTGAAGGGCAGAATGTGGCACCTTACCACCATAACTCCTTGAGGAATCAGAATTCTAAAGCCAGAAGGGGCCTTAGATCCCTTCTGGGCCAACATTCCTGATGGAGAAACTGAGACCAAGTGACTTGTTCAAACTTACAAGCGGCAGAAAAAAGATAGAACTCCTATCTCTAGGTTTCTGGTCCAGTGTTCTTCCCAGTACAATGCACTCTATCGGAATCCTCATCCTCTCCTTGTTGCCTGAGCTAGGGAAATCAGTGATAAGTACCAGGTTCTTTTACCCTAAAGAAGCATCCTTTGAAAACTCAGTTAAAAAAAAAAAAGATAGCTCTCTGAGCTGGGCCTCCTTCCTCTTCTGGCAGAGATGGGCCGCTAAACGTGTAAAATGCTGAATACACAGTCCACATTGGTTGATACACTGGTTGGTTTTGGTGCCTGGCTTTTCCCTTCTTTCATTTTTTATTCTTTGTTGCAAGAGATGGCTCGCTGGGGTATGTGGAAGGGATATTTCAGAAGTCAAGTTAAAAACACTTTTTAAGAGATGAAGCCTCAGTGTAATTTGTGTGTGTCTCAATGCTCTTCCCTCATTCCATCAGGATGAAATGCAGCTCCATTTTGAAAGTCTCTCAAACAACTGGACCAATTCTGAAGAACCCGAAACTCTGGAAGTCAAAGAAGTTCTCCAAAAACCAGCCCCAACCCTCCAGGAGACACATCCCTCTTGTTGGCCAAGAAACCAAGAGCTCCATGAGCCAGGCAGAGAAAGCTGGCTTCAGGTTCCAAAACCCTTTGAAGCTGGAGCAGAATATGGCGTCTCCCACCCCTCAACGCCAGGATCACACCGGGCTGACAAAGGACAAGTGGCTGATCCATACAGGGCGATGGGGTCTGGGGGACCAAAGGCAGAAGACCCAGGCAGCCACCTTAGGGACATCCCCGTGGTCTACCTGCCTGCCAACATAGATTACTTACCTTCCAACCTGGATTACCTGCCTTCCACTGCTCCTGACCCTCTAGAAGACAGTGAGCTGCAGGGCCTGTCTTTCTCCATCTTCCCAAAGGGCTCTTTTCACCCACTCCCCTGTGGAGAGAAGCTGACTCTGGACAGAGTTAAGATTGACCCTGGGCCCATCGCTCACTAACTGCCCGTGTGCTCCAGCCTTTCCTGGATGCCGTCATCACACTCTCCACCCCATGGCCTGGTTACCTTGCAGAGTGGCAGTGCATCCGATTGTCCAGTACTCAAAGCAGCGCAGGGGGCTTTCCCCACCTGGGCAGCGCCCAGCCAGCTCACGGAACCAAGGATGACTCGTGTTTCACCTTCAAAGTGTGCACCCCATACCAATTTTATTACTAGAATGTAAGCCTCTTGAGGGCAGGGGCTGTATGCCGTTGTTCATTTTTGCACCCACAGCATTCTAGGGGTTTAATCAAAGCTTCTTCTGACTGGCCTTCTTCCTCAGAAAGCTTTAGGAGGAACCACTGAATCGACTTGATTCTGGAAATAACACGGTTGCCCATTCATTGGGTGATTAGATAAAAACAAACTATTTTATAGGAATGTAATGAAATAATGCTGTGCACTGAGCAATGAGGAATTCAGAGAAATGGGGGAAGATTTGCAGGAATCACTGCAGAAAGAAGTGAGTGGAAACATACCTCATTACCATTATACCGAAGATGAGAAAGACGGACAAGAAGCGGAATTCTGAGTCGAGGGAAAAAACACCGACAAGTCCTGCAGGAGAGATGACAAAACCTATCCCCTCCCTCAGAGCCGAGAGGTGGAGGCCTACAGGGACACAACACTGCGTTTGCTAAGAAGCCAGCTTTCTTTGTTACAAGGGGGAAGGAAGACAATCTGGAGAAGGGCAATGAGAAATGATGTAAGGGTAAGATTTTGGGGCATGAGAAGACCAGATTAAAAATGCTAGATAATTTTTAAAATAAAAATATTACCCACATTCATTTGGTGAAAATCTTAGAGGTTTTAAAATGTGTTTGTCCATTGACTCACCCCCGAATCTGGTATTCTGAGAACCCCTCTTCCCCAGAAAGTCCAAATGGAGTGGAAAACTCTCCAGGATTAGTCCGAGCCGGCCCATGCCACACCTGTTGCCCTGCCAAGATGTATTTTTGAAGCAAGGGTTTTGCTTTGAAAACCAGTTTGGTCGGGAGCAGAAACCACTCCTTCCTGGCTGTGCTCATCCAATTTAGACACTGGCCAGAGATTATATCTCCTCAGCCCCACCCAGCCTGAGAATCCAAAAACATCTTAGCTCTCTATACCCGCTCACAGTTTACAAAGAGCAGTGTCGTGGGGTCCCCAAGACCTGAGTTCAAGTCTTACCTTAGGCACTTACTAACTGCATGATCCTGGGCAAGGCTTTGAACCTTCCTGTGCCTTGGTTTACTCACCTGCAAAAGAAGGTGGTTAGATTTGTTGGCCTTCTGTCTCCGTGATCCTGAAGGCCTACAACAGGCCACACGCGGTGCTGCACAAGATAAGTTCAGATTTCTGTAAAATGCTGAGAAGACCTGCCATGTTTGGGTTTTCTTTAATCATTCAGACATCCAGATTCCTTCAGCTGGGGCTGGGGCTGATCCATTGCCCACCCCCACCCCCCAAATTACTGGCAGACACAGTTGGTCACAGCATCATAGATCTAGAGAAGGAAGGCACCTCAGCCTTGACAGGTAGCCCCTTATTTTACAGATGAGGAAACTGAGGCCCAGCAAAGTTAAACTTGCCCCTAAGGTCCCACAGGTCGTGTCAAAAGCAGAATAAGATTCCAGATCCTCTAAGCCCAGAATCGGTATTCCGTCCCTTACACTATGCCAAGGGACCCCTTCTCAGAATCCAGTCCTTAAAAATAAAATACAAATAGCTGTCAACCTATTTTTAAAAATCAGTTCGCTGCCCCCAAGTTGAGGACCTGGCTCTACACCATTGGTAGGTTTTGTTAAATTGCTTTTTGCCCCCAGTTTTGTTTTTAATCTTTGAGATGGTTCTCTGTCTTCCTATATCCAAAGCTTATTAGCACAGGGCCAAGCATATAGCAGGCACTTAATAAATGCTGCGCTTTAAGGTTTGCAAACTATTTTGTTATCTTGTTTAACAGGTAAGTGGGGAGGCCGATACATTCAGAAGCTAAAATGATGAAAAACAAAGTTTTCCAAGATATACAGTCTTTTTTTTGGGGGGGAAACCAAGGTCAAGATCGGGGCAAAAATAAAAGTTGCCACATCATGGTTTGTCTCCCAATTCGTGTGTGTGCCCAATGTTTACAGAACTGCTACTCTGGAAGGTACTTCTCCACAGCGGACAGAGCACTCAGGCTGGAAGTCAGGAAGACCTGGGTGTGAATCCTGCTCGCCATTTTCTAGTTCCACGACCTTGGACGATTCACTGAATGCCTCTGACCTTCAGCTGAAGGTCATCTGTAAGGAAGGGGGATTCTAACAGATCCTGTCTCCGAAGGTGGTTGTGAGTGAGGCTCCAAGGAGACTGTCTCTGTATAGCAGCCCGTAAAACGCTACAAGCACGTGGGCTGGTGCCAGGCTTATCCCTGGCGACAATACTGCTTTGAAGGGGGCTGACCCTAACCGTAATCCCCCAGACTTTCTGTGGAGAGCACAGCGTGTCCATGGCCCAAAGCAACCAGTCGTGGGGGACGAGAACCCTCCGCTGAGGCTCTGGAGAGAGGGGAAGGAGGACAGAGACAGAGCCCACGTTGTGAACCAAGGCCGAGCCACGAGATGGCAACATGACCGCTCCAAAGCGTCATGGCGCCGACCCCACTTTGCGATGAAGAGAATGCCCCCTAGCGGGGATGGGAAGGGAGACAGCCTTCATCTTTTGTTGTTCTCTTAGGAAAACACAAAGTTGAGGAGATCATTGTGATACCAGTGGGAGGGAAGGTTCACTGAACCCATGCCAAAGTATTGGCCAGCGCCAGCCTGAGGACAGTGGGCACCTCGTACCAGAGGGAAGAGCGGGAAGACGATTCTTCTCCCTTCCTGGGCACAGGGATGGCCCCAAGCACAACTGTGAAATGGCCAGGATGTTTCTTCGGTATTCTAGGGCGCTGGGCCTGGAGTCAGGAAGACCCGAGTTCAAAACCTGCCTCAGACACTTGTGACCCTGGGCAAGTCAGTTCACTTCTCTGCCTTGGTTTCCTCAACGGTAAAAAGAGATGACGATAGCAGCTCCCTCCCGGGGTCGTTGTGAGGATCGAAGCACTTACCCACCGCCTGACACATAGTAGGGATTCAGTAGATGCTTGTCTTCCACTCTTATGATCCATCCAGGGGCCTTCAAAATCCTTTCAAAGCCTCTTTCATGCACCTTTCCTACTCCCATCCTGACCAGAAGGATCCAATGTCAGAGAAGCAGAATTCCAGGTGGTAACTCCCAGCCCCCATTTGGATACAGCTGGGAGAAAAGAGATGTCCTTTGGTCACGCAGACTCTTCCAAGGCACAAGCCTTTCTCCAAGGGCCGAGTGTCCCTTCCCTGGCAAAGAGTGTGGGTCTGCTCCGACAGAAGGTACACTCGGCCTGGAGAGTAAGAGGTGCTTCTGTTCTGGCCGCACCCCAGTCCCAGACAAGGCCTGGCCCGCAGCAGGTGCTCAGTAAATTCAGATGAACTCCTCTGTCACAGGCATTCACCTATGGGAAATGATCCGGATTCCCTCAGCAGAGAAGGCCGCCTCTAGGGCTCTGCCGGCACTAGGGTCACACCTGCTCCCTTCCTCTCCTCTGCCTCCCAGCCTTTCACAAGGGGTGGCCTCCTTCACCTGAGCCTTGGGACCGTCCTCAGCTGCTCTCTGGGCTACAGAGGGCAGGCTGAGATGGACAGCTTATCTGTTTCCCTGGTGAAGGGCTGGGTCTGAAGTCGGATGAACTGGATTCAAATACTCCCCCACCGATTCTCACTGCCTGTGGGACTTTGGACGAGTCCTTTGCCCTCTCTGTGCCTCAGTTTCCTTATCTGTACAACAAAATGCTTGGACCGCAGGACGTTTGAGGTCCTCTCCAGCCCTAACGCTATGACTCTGTGACCCTTTCCTAACAGGAACCAGACGACAACACATTTCAATGGTTTCTTTATGGAACTACCATCTTCTTTCCTATTCCTCCTTCTCTATTTCATCCTTGAAGAGAATGAGTTTGTCTTCAAAAGATGTTTGGGAACAGATAGGGCCTGGGCTGGGAGACCAGAGACCCAGGTTAAATTCCCACTGCCTAGGCAAGTCACCTCAGTTTCTCCATCTGTAAAATGGAGATAATGTCTATATTACCCACCTTATACAGTTGCTGGTCATGGGACCTGTTGCTGCCCTGGACCTTTCTCAGTCCTGTTTTGTTTTTTTTTTGAAACAAGTCCACTTTCCCAGTGGAACTGAAGCTCACATCCAGTTCTTGGATTCTGCCCAACTTTAATTACTACAAATATGTCCGCTGGGCTCACCTCCACTGCTCAACAGGGTCCCCCCCAATACTACCTTGCAGGAAAGCTGCTTTTCAGACTGAGGATAGCTGGGTACCGAGAGGAAAAGGTGGCCATTCCGTGAGCAACGAGGCATGGGGGGGCCCCTACCAGTGGCCCTGGGCCCATTTCCTCTTCTCTGCCCTGAATCTGTCTCCTTTTCTGGATTCTGCCACGCGTGGAAAGGAAGAGGGAGAATGAGTGGCACCAGATTTCGGTCCATTTCCTCATCCATAAATTGGCCATAATGATAGTGCCCATCTCACCAGATTTTCCTCAAGAATCAAGGTCATGCGTGATGAGCTTTGCAAACTTTTAGGTACGACATGAACGTGAGCTCAGACGTCAGCTGCATCTTTATAAAACCCCTTATATGACCAGTCTTCACCATGAATTTGCTGAAGTGGCCTCCTCAGAGCTTCACGGGCCGCTTCTCCATCAGCTTCTCCTGTGGCCCTAAGAAAAACAGAACAGACAATTCTGCTGTATCTGCTTCCCTTCCCCCCTTCCTCCACTTTCCCTCTTTGCTTTCCCCTCCCCCAATTCTTGTGCCCCCCCCCCCAATATTCCTTCCTTAAAATTCACATTTGCAGTTGGCCATTATGAATGCTCATACATCCAAGTCAGGAAAAAAAAGTCACAGCTCCGGACATCCAGCAGCCCTGGCTTCCCTTAATTTGCTCCCGTATGAACTACCTGAAGTCCTGCTTACTCCCACTTCCCTCCCTCTCTTTGGTGGGCAAGCTCTCTTCTTCCCAGCATCCACTGCTCACTCACACATCCAGGGGGTGGGAGGGTGTGTGTGTGTGTGTGTGCGCGCGTGTGTGTGTGTGTGTGTGTGTGTGCGTGTGTAGGAGGCAGGTGTAATTCTGCACGGGTCACAGGCCAGGGCCCTGCCTTCCCCTGCACTGTCCATTTTGAGCATCCCCACGTTTGTTTTTAGAAGGTAGCAATTACACGAACGCCAGGGCCAGCCACTCTAAGCTAAAGGGTGTTGAGCTGTACCACAGAAAACCAAGCCCTGCCCCTGTAAGAAGTGGAAGGGCATTAGAGACCTCCTTGTACTGAGGAGGCGCCTAATTTGTCACTGAATTGAGAGGTTAAAGCATTAAAGCATTGCCTTCTTCGAGTTTCTTCCCTCACACCACCATGGATCATCGGTGCCTTCCTGATTCTGTAGAAGGTCGTCTACTTTCACGAGTCCCCCAGAATAATCTGCATTGTCAGGGCAGCCTCCTGGCAATGAGACATTCTGATGCCCCTGGGCTATACTCAGTTTCTCCCTACGGTCTGCTAGGAGAGCCTCCAAAAAGCAGAATACCTTCTACGCCATGAAGCATGGGCCGTTAACGGAAGCAGTCCATTGGAACGAGACCACATGGAAGAGCCTTCATCAGTCCTTGGCATTCCTATCAGTGCAGAACACCACACCGGTACCTTCACTGTGCATTAGTAGCTCTGACAAAAGTGGGGAGCAATCTGAAGAGGTTATTAGAATCCAGCTTGCTTCTTTAAAAGGGGGAAGGGGGAAATCCCTCATTTGAGCCAAGGCTGATTTATCCACTCTATCCCACTTCCAATTATGCTATGCCATGCATTTATCATAACGTCCTGCAGAAGCACTGCCAGAATCGTCGCCAGTGCAAGGTTCTAATTCTGAAAGAAGTGTTAGCTCAAGGTTCCTGTGCCTCGACTACAACTGTCATTCTGTGAAAACATTCTGTGAGCCAAAGTAATTCCGTACTTAAATTCATACCTGTGGTTGTTGAGCTTATTGTTTTACCTAATGAAGACCAGAGAAATTTAGCAAAAAAAGCTAACCACCATGACAGCCACGAGCCTGAGGAAGACACCTGCTATGCTCTGCTGTTGAGGTTAAGTCCTAAAACAGAAATCAACCCCAAGGTAACCCACAATTTTGCTGTCAAGGACACAGGATGGAAGAAAGCCACGGTCCCATCCCCAAATGTGGAGGGACACAACACAACCAGCAGCCAGCATCATAAACAGGGTAATTCCAGTCTATGCTAGGCAACCTGCCAGGTTTTTATAGATCATTTCCAAGGTCACCCACCCCTGGCTCCTAAGTTACCTGAGGCACAGTGCCAATTCCGTGTTCCAAGGTGCAAACCACACCACCATTTAATAATCAGAAGCAGTCCAGGATTTCATATGCATCTTCTGCTGGACCCGAGTAGCTCTCGAGTCAATGAGACCAGCAGATAGTCTGCTCATTTGCTTTCCATTAGCCAACACCGCTGAGTGAAGCCCAGGGAAGCATTTTGTGCACGTTACAGCTTCAGTCGGAGCAACGATTCTGTAGGGCCGTAGGACGGACACATACACGATCCCAAAGGCAGTTTAATCAACGCCTAAGCCTTTAGTCTGCCGATCTCCAGTGAACACTAATCATGGCACCCATTTCAGAACATAGGCCATTTTCAAGCTCAGTAACCTCCTCCAGGTACTTCTGGGTAAGAGAATACTGTCTCACATATGAAAAACAGCAACTGCCTAGAAACAAATATTTTATATAAGTAGGGGGAAAAACCCCAAAAACTTATTTCATCCATGTATATATCTTTTTAGCTTCAGAAGGAAAAACAGGATGCCTAAAGAACTTAAAGCAGGTATCGGTAGATGCTTTTTTATTTAGTCATTTCAATCATGTTCAAAAGATCCTGGAGTGGTTTGCCATTTCCTTCTCCAGCTCATTTTACAGATCAGAAAACTGAGGCAAATAGGGTAAAGTGACTTGCCTAGGGTCACACAGCTATCATCTGAGGCTGGATTTGAACTCAGGTCTTCCTGACTCCAGGTCCATTGAGCTCTATCCACTGCATCACCTAGCTGTCCCTGTTAGGTACTTAGGTTCTATATAAT